TGTTTTCCCATATTTTCTGAAGTGATAAATTTTAGGCCTATGCATCGTAGCTTTCTGTCTTTATTGGTAGCTTGGGGAACTGGATCTGATGCATAGTTCTGGCACTTTTAATCTTCATTTTACTCACTGCCTATCATATCTTAACCACAATCTCCTTAATTGTGTTACTCCAAATGGTGTCCTGACTGCATTAAAAGGTAGTACTTGGAAAATTTCACTTAATCATCCATTTAAATCACATTTTATTCTTTCTGTTGGAGTTGCCCCAGGGCTCAGTGTTTTGTGTTTGCTGTTGTTTTTTTTTTCTTGAGGACAGGGTTGGTTCAGATTCTCAATCAGATATGTCTTCCTTTGGAATCTACTGTGGACAGCAAAGTGTAGACTGGTTCCTGCTATAGTTACCATGCACCAACTATAGGCATGAATGTAGGCTACTGTGGTCTTTTGCTTGCTGTAGATCTGGGGACCACTCAGCTCAAGCCTCAAGGAGGCAGAGGGCCGGGAGGTGAACATCTGACTCTCTGATCCGGCTGCTTTGTTCTTGGCTCTGTTTGTACACCCTAATGCCTGAATTCAAGGCCTGGTTTGGGGGTCTTGAGCTTCACTGATTCCCATTATCAACCCTGGCCTGAATGACTATTCAATTCTGCTACACAACTGGAAAACTGTCAGTAGAGTTTGCTGCTACTCTGAGGCCGTTATATGACATATTCTCCAGGGCGTTATAACATCAGGGAACTGATACCTCTTGCCTCCTGTGAGGCTCCTCTTTACATTTCTCCTAGCCTCTGTCTACCATTCCATCACCCCCACCTCCCACATGCTGACTTTGTGCTTTCATAAATATCTAGCATCCTTGAACAACTTCTATAAAAGCTTAAAGGTAACATCCTTTTCTTCAAAGCACTTCCATATTATTATTTGATCCTCACAAAAAGTCTTTCAGGTATGTAGGTTAGTACATTATCCTGATTTCACCATTGAAGAGATAGAGACAGTGATTAAGTGATTTTCCCATCCTCAGGCACTTAGTTAATGTGGAACTGGTATTAGAACACAGTTTGTTTTTGTTGGTGATTTCATTCATTCTTTTCTTAATTTTTTTGTTCATTCATTTATATACTCATAGTGAGAGGCAGCAAAATGGAAAGATCAAGGGTTTTGGAGACAGACAAACTTTGGTTTGAAACTTGATGACATCTCTTATTAGCTGGGTGACCTTGGTCATATACTTACCCTCTCAGAAGTTGTTTTCTTCTTTGTAATATAAGGAAAAATTATGACTTATAATGTTTATATGTGATTTAGCACGGCATGAAAATTACCTAGCAATCATAGCATCTGGCATATGGTAGGCTATAGGTAAAATGTTACTGTAAGTATATAATATGTAAAATAGGTCATTATAGTTTAAAAATGGTCAAATATTGACAATTTTATAATGGTAGAAACTCAGTGGCTACCATTTATTGAGTCCTTCCCTTTTGTATATGAGGCCCAGCTATACCCCCAAAATGCAAATAGAAATGAGACAAGGTCTTTGTGTTTCTGTATCTTCTACTAGACCAGTGATGGCGAACCTTTTGAGCTCGGCATGTCAGCATTTTGAAAAACCCTAACTTATCTCTGGTGCCATGACACATATAGAAATTTTTTGATATTTGCAACCATAGTAAAACAAAGACTTATATTTTTGATATTTATTTTATATATTTAAATGCCATCTAACAAAGAAAAATCAACCAAAAAATGAGTTCGTGTGTCACCTCTGACACGCGTGTCATAGGTTTGCCATCACTGTACTAGACTGTGGTTGTGGAGGGTAGAACCTGTGTTAGAAGCAATCCCAACACTAACAACAATGTCTACTAGGTAGTGGGTGCTCAATAAATGCTTTCTGAAGTGAAAAGTTCCCTGCCTACCAGGAGATTACCAACTAGTTAATTACATAGTCATATAATTATAGTAAACTTTTACAGGTATTTAGATAGACACATACAGGCTGTGGTGATAGTGAAAATGAAACAATGCTCAATTCTACTGGGGGAGTGTGAAGCACAGTGGAGAAGAGGGGGCAAAGCATCATAGAGCAGGTGCCGTGATTAACCGTGGTCTGTCTGTGGAAAGAAGCAAAACCAATTTGCTTATCTTGAACTACATACTTTCTCTCAAAGAAGCCCCTTCTAACGTGTGCAATTGAGTTTGTATTCAAAGAAGCTTCTTTGTTTGTCTCACAGTCCCTCTCTTACTGGTATCTCCCATAATGTATTGCTTTGTAAAGTGCTTTGCTCTATTCTGAGTATAAAAGAGATGCTCAGGAAAACCTGATTCTATTCTCTGAGTGTCACAACTAGCCATTGCATAACAAAGTGCAATACATTATGTGAGAAGAAATAGAGGAACACAAGAGATGTTTTAAAGAGAATAAAGTAAAACATCAAAACGGGAGTGTGTAGAGTGCATTGAAGTTAATGAACTGTCATGGCAGAGTGGACCACTTTTCAATGTGAAGGAAGCTGATTTAGCCACTGGTATCTAAATGATTAGAATCCATTGGAATGAAGTTAGCTGCTAGTCTTGCCAAATTCTAAATCTTTTAGTGCTCCTTGAGAACCAGTCCTTGAAATTGAACAGATTATTATTATTATTATTATTTTGTCAATAGCTCTTTGAGATGCTAAACCCATTGGTCTTACTTTGAATATTCAGTGCTGCTCAACACTGTATAGCACTGCTCTGCTATATAGAGTTGAGGAGGAGGAATTCAGGCCCTGGTTCTAATGCTTGATTGGGACCAGTTAATCAGCATAGGCTTCCAGGGCTCCTGTGGTCATTCCCTGTTTCCATAGAGACACATAAACCAGAAAACTGTCAGGAGTCAACTTTGCTCAGGTGTGAACCATTGAGCTACTCATCTTATTTGCAAGAGATAGACAAGGCGATCGATACAGGTCTCCGTCTTGGCAGTGTGGAAGGATGCCTACAACGACAAGAGTTCTAAGGTGCTTTCTGCCAAGAACTGGATTGGATTTTGTGCTTCTTCAGCCACAAAATGTCCCCAGCATCTTACTCCCAAATCATTAATGCCCTTTGCAGTCAGTCTGCTCAGCCTGAACATCCTTATCTCTCTTTACTCAGCACCATCATTATTGTTTTCTTTTGCTAGCTAAACTCTCAAAGTTTATAGATCCCTAATATATTAATGTGTTTTTTTTCCCCAAACAAGTAGGAGATATTAGGTGGCATTTTTATCCTTGATTACACTCCCTCTCTCTCTTTGGAGAAGAATGAGAATTGCTGATTCTGGTTTTGGGTGCAGTTTGTAGAATATTTCCTTGGTGTATAAAAATGCTAAGTTTATGTATTGGCATGCTGGCATTTATTGACCTTGGGAACATTACATAACTGTTTTAAGCTTCAGTTTCTTCATTTGATAAATGGGGATAAAATGACTAGTTTATAGGGTTTCAGTGAGGACCAAAGAGACTCCATATGAGGAAATGCCTAACACAGTACACAGCACATAATAGAGGTACAATAAATTATTATTTAAAACAAAGCAAAACAACTGAAGCAGGACCAGTTCTACTGAAATAAAAGGAGCTGTTGGAAAACAGTGAGAAATATAAAGAGAAATCGCAAAGCTGTATATAGAACTGTGTCCTCAGTCTTGTGCACAGTGTAAGATTTAGGGGCAAATGGGGAAGTAAAAAGTAGGAGTTTGTTGTAGGTAAAAGGTGGTGAATTGTATGGAGACATGAGAAGTCATTTCAGGGAAGTCACTACTATAGGACGGCATGAAAAAATTTTCAAAAGTGCCTCTAACATGCCCTGGGCCTGGTACTTCAGTTGGTTGGAGTATTGTCCCATACACCAAAAGGTTGGGTGTTCAATTTCTGGTCAGGGCACATACTTAGGTTATGGGTTCAATGTGATGTGTATGGGAGGCAACTGATCATTATTTCTCTCTCTCTCTCTCTCTCTCTCTCTCTCTCTCCCCCCCCCCCCTTCCTCTCTCTCTAAAAAATACCTTGGGTGAAGAAAAAAAATAGTGGCTCTAACACTATAGCAGTTATCAGTAGTATTTGTTGAAATCATCGTACTTTGATGCATGAACAAATCAAAATAAAATGACTCCTTGTGGTAATGGGTGATTTGAGAAGGAGTGTGATGTAATACAATGGAATATAAATTGGCCTAAAAATCAGAAGATCTGGATTCATATTTGTTTCACAGAAGTGGTTCATGGTTTTGGATTTCTGAGCTTTTTTGAGCCTTAGCTTCAGCATCTATAAAATGGGGATAACAGCACCTTTATTATTTTCCTCCCACTGGTTTATTGTAAGGATCAACTGAGATTTTTTTAACGTACTGCCTACATATTGGCTGTTTTTTTTTGATTTAGTATTAAGAGCCAGATACTAAAAGTGTTGCTGAAGAATTCAGGCTCTTGTCCTCTTTGAGGTGAACATGAAGTAAAGGCAGCAAGAATATGGGGTTTATGTATGTGCAGCTCTCTATATCTAGCTTATCCAGACCATGTTTTGCTGCTAGCCTCTGCTAAGCCCATTTTACTGCTCCCTTTGCCTGGCCTACACCATCCCCTCAGCCCAAGAGCAGTTCAAGGGTGAATTGTGATAGGAGTGCCAAGGATCATGCCGCAACAGCAAGACCCCCCTCTTGGAGACTCCTGCGTTTGTGCACTTGGCATTACTGCCTGGACCACTTGCATCCTCGTTGCCTCATTTGTCTCTGTCTGTTTGCTGCTAATGGCTCTAGCAATAGCATCTTTTATTTTCTTGCTCAAGGATGTCAGATGCTTCTGAAAGCTTTTTTCTCTCACACTGCTGAGAAAACATGAGACTTTAAGAGACTAGGCTAAAAGACAGAAGTAGGGTTTGATGACCAGCAAAGGCCCTCGACTTGCAGTATCCAGTCTCTTCAAAGACAGGTCCTGTGGTGTGGGTTGTGATTTAACCACGCTGTCTTTGCATTTTCAGGGAGTCAACGAGTTGAAGATGAAGCCCAGAGCAGAGTGCTGTTCACCCAAGTTTTGGTTGGTGTTGGCTGTCCTGGCCGTGTCAGGCAGCAGAGCTCGTTCTCAGAAGAGCCCCCCCAGCATTGGCATCGCTGTCATCCTCGTGGGCACTTCAGACGAGGTGGCCATCAAGGATGCCCACGAGAAAGATGACTTCCATCATCTCTCTGTGGTGCCCCGTGTGGAGCTAGTAGCCATGAATGAGACCGATCCAAAGAGCATCATCACCCGTATCTGTGACCTCATGTCGGACCGAAAGATCCAGGGGGTGGTGTTTGCTGACGACACTGACCAGGAAGCCATCGCCCAGATCCTTGACTTCATTTCAGCCCAGACTCTCACCCCCATCCTGGGCATCCACGGGGGATCCTCTATGATCATGGCAGACAAGGTAAAAGCGGGCTGCAGTGAGAAGAGTCTGGTTGGTTTGAATGAAGAACTAAATGATCCATTTGTTTTGATGCAAAACTGAATTATGAAAGATGGAAGGTTGTTAACCAGAATGCACAGAGTGGATAGACCAGGGATTAGTCTAATTGCTTGGAGATGAAAGGGAGGGAAAGATGATGTCATCTAGTTATGCATAGAGTTTTGCACAGCTTTGTGTGTCCATTTCTTTGTAAACAAATTCCCTGAAATGACTAAGAGATAGAGAAACTTGTAGCTCTGTGATCCATTTTCTTCAAATACGTATATGAATAGCTCCTTCAAAATTTTATTTTTTTAATTTATTTTTTTAAATCTTCACCTGAAGATATTTTTTCCATTGATTTTTAGAGAAAATAGAAGAGAGAGGGAAAGACAGAGGGAAATATCAATGTGAGAGAAATGCATCAATTGGTTGCCTCCTGCATGCGCCCCTCCCAGGGCTTGGGCCGGGGAGGAGCCTGCAACCGAGGTACGTGCCCTTGACCGGAATTGAACCCAGGACCCTTGGGTCTGCAGGCCAACACTCTAGCTACTGAGCCAAACTGGCTAGGGTGCTCCTTCAAAATTTTAAAATAAGGTGTGCTCCATTCTTCCTTCATAATACATATTGTATACCCATATCAGTTACAAGAATATGAAACAGAAACTCCTTTGAAATGGGTAATTTTTCTCCTTGAGGATACAAATATCGCAGAGAAGTACTTGTTGCTAAGGTGTCCATGCTCATCACACATCAGTCTATGTATTTGAGTGGATTTTAACCCATAGAACCAGTAGCAGCTTCATTTCCTCATGCTTACATTTGAAGGCAATAGGTCTGTAACCTTGCTTGCACATTGGAATCACCTAAACAGCCTTAAACACCACCAATGCCTGGTTCCACCAAATTCTGATTATTGGCCTCGGGTACTGCCTGAGGTTTAGGATTTTTAAAAGCACCCCTGTTGATTAAGGCTGAGGACCACTGCTTTTAGGCCTCAAATATATCTAGTTGCTCCTACATTAATATTGGATTGTCATATGATATTGTTCTCTGATATTGACGCTTATTCTCTAACCACAAGTTTTGTTGTGGTTATGTTTTGTTTTCAAATTTTAAACTTACTCAGTTATTTTTTCCTTCCTTGATTGCTTATTGCTGAGGTACAGCACTTCTCGCTATATATTGTCCTTCACAGTTATTTCTACCTCAGGTGGATTCATTTCACAAGTACAATATATATTTTTTTATCACTTTGGGTTTTTAAAATTGTTTCTACCTTTTTGTTGTCATTTATACTTTTTAAAATCACTTTCAAAACCGCCATTAGTTTTTTACTTAAAAGACATGCTGTAGAGTTAATGATATTTGCAAACACCTCAAAACCTAGCACAGACACCTAGCACAAGTGTGCTCCTTGGCCAGTTGAGACCCATTACAGTGCAGGGCTTACCAGAGTAAAATAACCTTGCATGATCACTATTGCCATCTGTTGGCAGCAGGCATAGATGATGAGCATCTGTTTGGAGCTTCCTTTATTCAATCCAGGAAAGGTCAAGTGGAAAGCACTAAGTGGAGGAACTTCGGTAGTATCTGAGAAAGATATTGAAAGGGAAAGATGTTAGAATCAAGTGCTGGCAAGAGATGCCCTTGGTAAAAGAATGGAGATAAACTTAAGCAGAATGGAAAATATAGACTGACTATGGCAAAACCTACTGAGTTTTTGCTTCAGATAGAGTGTTTTGTTAACATTTTCCTCAGCAAGTTATATTTTTGCAGCAGTATTTCATCTTCTTATTTTTTTGAAATTAAATTTTTATTGTTGAAAGTACAAGTTATATTTTTGCAGCAGTATTTCATCTTATTTTTTTGAAATTAAATTTTTATTGTTGAAAGTATTACATATGTAATATATTATTAGCAGTAGCATTTTGAGGGCACAATATGGCACTGAATAATGCCAAGGTGAATGAGCCAAATTTTGAAACATAAATAAGTGCTCATTTATTTTGAGAGCAAGAAGGTAAAAATGATTTTTTTTCTTACATGGGCTATTGTGCAACCTATGTTATTTTAGGTCCACCTCACCTCACCCCCAGCCCTAGCAAAAGTGGTTATTGGTTAAATCGATTGGTTGCTTCTCTGTTGTGTCTCTTACAAATGCTTAATAATAACATGATAATATGAACTAAGATGCAGATCATGGGGACAGACTGGGCTCTTTTGTCCACTGATGTATTCTAGGTGCTTTAGAATATCTACCATATGCTGGGCACATAGTGCTTTGCATGCATTATTTTATTTAATATTCTTATAACCCAGTAAGCTAAATGGTATTATTTATCTCCATTTGACACGTGGGAAAACAGGCTCAGAGAGGTTACCTAACATATCCAAAATGACATAGCTAGTAACTGGCAGCCAAGACTGTAAATCGGTTGCTGGCTCCATGTGCTCCATCTCCTCTCAAGAAAATGGAGAGGCTGGTTAGCATCTCACATAACGTCCTACTCTTTACTTTCTCCTCTGTGGCGGATGTTATCTGCCTACATGCAATTCACCCCTTGATTCATGTGGCAATAGTGGAATCTGACTAGAGGAGAGAATGAGTGAGAATGTGACTAGCACTTAGGGGTAGCACACTTCCATTGAGGGCCCAGTGGTTACTCCTTCTAGGGGGGAAGGGAGGAGTGAGGCAGATCCAGATGTGGATTCTTTCAGGTCACTGTAGTGAGAACCCCCTTTGATCTCTTCCCCCTGAGCCCTCCCACCATTGCAACCAACCCAAATAATAGCCCGCCTTATCTTTTTTCTCCATCATAAAAGGGAGATAGGCAATGATTTTTAGGCAGTTTCCTAAAAGAGCCTAAATAATGTCTGATTTTTGACCTAAAAAGAAGAGTTTCTGAAAAATAGGTAGGAAGAGGAAAAGGAAGAAGGGAGAATGTCCCGATAGCATGGAAGCCAGAGAGCTGAAGGCTCAGTCACAAGGGGTCACATGCCTGATGGGGTGGCTGCAGAGAAGGGCGCAGCAGGAACCCCCGGCCCGAGAAGGCAGCGGGGCCACGATTCCAGGGAGCTGTGCTGAGGAATGTTCGCATGCTCAAGCGATTTGCATGAAGGTAATAAAAAGAACCTCCCAGATTTCAGAGAAATAAGGTTTTGGGTCAAGTTTCAAAAATGAACCACCTCAAATTCTAAGGTCAGTTTTTTAAAATAGAAGTTTATTTTTAAGTACTGTGACCACATTCCACAAACATAGAATGAGGACACAGAGTTCCACGACTATGAATCAACTATGAGGCAACAGGATAAAACATTTGAAAGTGGAACTGATGCAGAAATTCTGAGAAACACAGTTCACTTTAAGGTATAGCTGCCATCCAAAAAGATGAGAAGTCAGCCTTCCATTTTGCTTCCCCCTTCTAGAAGATAGGTAATTGCCTCTCCATTTTTTTGTTGTTATCCTCATCAGCAGATATTTTCCCATTGCTTTTCAGAGAGAGTGGGAAAGAGGGAGGGGGGAAAGAGACAGAAGAGAGAGAGAGAAACATCAATGTGAGAGAGACATCGATTGGTTTCCTCACACATGCACCCTGATGGGGCTGGACTCTAACCTGCAACCAAGGTGCATGCCCTTGAATGGCAGTTGAACCTGGGACCCTTCAGTGTGTGGGTCGGCACTCTAACTGCTGAGCAACACTGGCCAAGGCTTACCTCTCCATTTTAACTTAGCTTTTGTTTGTTTGTTTGTTTGTCTGAGGTAGAATGCACTTATTAAGTATCCTTGTGGAAGATTGCATTACAGGGATGAAGTTCCTGATTCAAGGGATTGGTGATGGAAGAAAAACAGCATGATTATAAAGCTTTTTGACAAAAATAGTGAGACACAGGTTCAGCATCTGGTCAAATAGCATGTGCCCACTTTTTCGTATATGTTGATGAATCAGTACAAACATTAGTTAATGCTCTGCTTTCCCGAAGAGGAAGCACACCTTCTGCCATGGCCAAAAGAAGCATGGGAACCAGAGAGTAGAGCTGTTCAAAGCTCAGAATTTGGAGTCAGTGGGTTTCAACCATCACTTCCTAGATGTGGGGATCTGGACTATTCACCAACCACTGTAAACGGTTTCCTTGCCTGTATAATGGGGATAATAACATATTCATCATAGGCTTTGTGAAGATTAAATGAGATAATACATAGTAAATGCATAGTAAATGCTTCACTAAGTATCCAGCATAACATTCAGTAGTCTAAGCTGAAGGTTGTATGGAGCAGTTTGAAGAAAGGGAGAAGGTTTCATGATACAGGAAAATAATGGGAATTGAACAGCATCACAGCCAACTGTAGGGACATTTCTGAACTGGAGACCAACAACCTGTCTCCTACAATGGCTGTGAAGTATGGGTGGGAGCCGTGGGCCTGCCACGCCAGGGCAGCTGAGGCTCATCGGTGATACAGCCACACTGTTACCACAAGGACATGTTCGGTTAGAGACAAGCTCTAATAAAGAACGAACTGCTGCTGCTTGTAACAAAAAGACTTTTTCAATAGTAACAGAAACGGTTTATAAATGAATGAGGTGATTTTTGACAGTTCCTCACCTGAATATAGGGAGTCTGTTTTATTTTTTCTTGTTATAATTGTTTCTATTCTCCCTGAGATTCTGGACTTAGGATACCTATCTGAATCCAAATAACAAACTAAAGCTGGATGTATTTCCATTTCTTTCCAGGAGGTTCCTTGCTGACTTGCTGAAGTTTTTCTTGGGTTTTCAGATTTTAGCTCAGAGAGGTTAAGTAACTAATCTGGGATATCACAGCTTATGAGCAATGGGACTGGGAATCGAATCCCAGAAGTACCCATTTTGAAGCCTGTGCTTTCTATTTATATAATTCTGCCTCAAATACATTATAATAAGTATTATAAGTCCTGAGTTTTAGATTCCAATTTCATGAGCTTTGGAAATTTAGGTAAACAA